TTTCCCCTAACAAAGGTAAATTCTACCCTCAAAGGTAAATTCTGTTGCCACTTCTTCAGAGACCAAAAATCTCCTGGAAGTGTTAAAATAGCAGTTTATCCTTACTTGCAGTCCCGAAAAGTCTCAGAATGACTTTAGAATGTTGCGGGTTCATTTGGTAGTAAATTTTAACTTTTTTTTTTTTTTTATGGAGTGAGGGCAGGGAATTGAATCCAGGGCCTTGTGTGTGTGTGTGTGTGTGTGTGTGTGTGTTGGGATAATGCTCTACCACTGAACCATACTCTAGCCTCCCATTTTTTGGCAGTGCTGGAGGTTAAACCCAGGGCCTCATACATGCTAGGCAGGTACTCTGCCACTGGGCTATATCCCCAGCCCATTTTAAAAACTTTTTTTGAGGTAGGGTCTTGCTAAGTTAGCAAGACTAGCTTCAAATTTGCAATCCTCCTGCCTTAGCCTCCCTAGTAGCTGAGATTACAGGTGGACACCAAGCCTGGCATCCAGAATTTTTGTGTGCACGTAGTTTGTCTTTGAAGTTTTACTTGTACAAATTTATGCTATAGACATGCTCACACAATGCTCTAACAATGCTCCAGTGCAGCGTTGATTGTAGTACTAAAAATTGTAAACAATTTATATATACATCAATCATGATATGATTGAATAAATTAATCTACCCATTATATGGAATGTAATGCAGCCAATAAGATTGAGGTCTGTCTGTCTCTATGCACTGCTATGGATTGGGTTCCATGACATATGAGAAAAATGTGTGTGAATCTATATGTGAGTTGTGAATGTATGTATATAAACAATATATGCATGGAAATTAGCCTAGAAGGATACATACTAAAAATACTAATAGTAGATACTTCTGAGTAGTAGGATGGGGAAATGATACGGAAATGTCTAGGAAAAAAGTTAGTTCTTTTTTTTTTTAAAGTCAGGAATTGGGGATATAGCTCTGTGGTGGAATGCTTGCCTAGCATGCCGGAGGCTCTGGGTTCCATCCTCAACAACACACACACACACACACACACTTAAATTGTATGTTAGTTTTATAATTGAAAAGAAATGTAAACTCATCACCTTTCTTTGCAGACGCATTAGACAGTGGGCTCTTTAGCACTTTGCTTTCCCACGGGATTTGCAATTTTGTTGCCAAATTCTGCTTTTGAGGTCTTTCCAACCCTCTTGTCCTTCCTTCCTTTGGAGGCAGTCTGCAGGATTCTTTCCTTGTTTCTCTGAACTAGCACAATTAAACTCAATATTGTAAGTTAACACCAGCAGTTTCAAACTTTCTTGCATATTAGAATCACATCAATACTCATTTAATGCAGATTCCTGGGCCCTGCTCATTAGATCCTGATTCAGTGTGTCAGGAGTGGGGTCTAAAATTTTGATCTTTTTTTTTTTTTTTTTAGCTGTCAACAGGCCTTTATTTTATTTATTTATATGTGGTGCTGAGAATCGAACCCAGTGCCTCACACATGCTAGGCAAGTGCTCTGCCACTGAGCCACAATCCCAGCCTGAATTTTGATCTTTTTAAGTTTTTATTTATTTGGTTCCTGGGATTGAACACAGGAGGCACTTAATCACTGAGCCACATCCCCAGCCTCCTTTTTTAAAAATTTTGAGACAGAGTTTTGCTTAGTTGCTGAGGCTGGCTTTAAACTTGTGGTCCTTCTGCCTCAGGCTCCCAAGTTGCTGGGGTTACAGGTGTGTGCTGCTGCACCCAGAAGAAATCTTGATCTTTTAAAAACTCTCTTTTGATTCTGACTTCTGGTTGTGTTCCCTCCACCTCCTTTCTCTTTCTGTGATTAGTAGCTGTTAAAAAGTAATTAGGCAGGAGAGGATGACTCATTGTGGATATCTTTGTGGGTCACAAATGGTTTGGTTCCTCTGAATGGGAAAAAAAATGAATAATCCTTGCTTCTTTAAAGCAGCCTATTTAAAGGGTTCTCTCTAGGTTAGAGGCTGGTCAGGTGGGCTTCCTACACAGTGACTTCCACCTAATAGATGCCCTTCAGTGATAGCTATGCTAGTGGAGGGGAAGGAAGAACCTCCCTCCACAAGTTGTGAAGTCTTGGTTTTCAAATGATTTTTTAGGTGAAGCTTTTGTCCTGGGAAACTGGTATACTGTAAATATGAGTTACTGTCTTATGACACCTCCATGTTTTTTTTTTTTTTTTGTTGTTGTTGTTGTTAGAACAAATTTTTCCTTTGTTGTATGGGCATTCTGTTAACCAGATGCCCATTGTGGGTTATTAACATCTCAAAGGGGTGTTTAACAAATGTAAATCTCAGTTGCTCCTAGCAGTTAACCTCAGGAACAAAAGTAAATGGGAGTATTTCTTAACTACCTTTCAAAGCTGGCAGCCTTAAGTTTTTATAAACTATTAGGTTTATTAGTTCAGAATAGAAAAGTGGATTTGGACAGTTTTCTGAACTGCTCCTCATTTACCCAACTATCACTTAGTCACAGGCTACTCTGTGCCTATTGGACATTAGATAACTCTACAAATAGATGCCAGAGATTGATCAGAAGTTGGAACTTTCTAAGGGGTTCATTGGAATGCAAAAATAATGAATAAAATACAGTTTATTAAACTTCAGATCTTTGTAGCATGTGTAAAAACAGAGTGAATTCCTTAAAGCAGTAGCTTTGTTCTCCTTTTGTAGTCTATTTTAAGTGGGCCCTTTGGCCCAGAATTATCAACCTTGTATTAGGAACTTTGAGGAAATGGTGGTTTGGTGGTTGTTTTTTGAAGGATTTTTAAAGAAGTGTAGTTACTAAGCAACTGCCATGACCTGCTGTGGAGTTCAGCAGGCAAGTCATTTCCAAAGAAGGTAATATATAAACAAGTTTTAAGAGGGGAAACATGGCTTATGGATAGATTGTTAGTGGTTTTTTTAAGGTCATGGGTTTGGAACCCAGGGGTGGCTCTACCATGGTCCAACACCCCCAGCCCTTCTTCTTCTTCTTCTTTTTTTTTTTTTTTTTTTTTGGAGACAATCTTGTTAAATTCCCAAGGCTGTCCTTGAATTTGTGATCCTCCTGCCTCAGTTGCTGGGATTACAGGCTTGTGATGCCATGCCTGACAGTTGGGTGTTTTCTTTTGTTCTGGGTTCTATGCATAGTTCTTTTACTCATCTTCCCTAAGAAAGGACTGCCTGGTCAGAAAGAAGTCTCTGCTTCACACGGTTCTCTCCTTAGTGAGTGAGTTTGAAAGAAGGCCAGAAAGGAAGGAGTGAGACATGATCCCCCAGCCAGGGTTAGAGGGCCAAGCCCAGGGTTAATGCCAGTGCCCAGACATCTCTAGAGGTGCACTGTTCTGTTGCTGTGTCTTGGGCATCCAGGGCTTCTGTGACAGATTGGCCACCATCCTCTCCCTTTACTTTGAGACACCTCATTGATATTGATGTGTTGCCGTGTAACCCTTAGAACAGGGACATTGTCCAGCTGTTGTCTCTTGTTTCTCCCCAACACTTAATGGGTGAGTCAGTGACTCAACTGCTTCCTCCAGGATTTCAGGGACAGGAGTAGTTAATGAGGACAAATCACCATAATACCAGTACGTGATGAATGAAAGATCACATGAATTTAACCAGTTGGCTTCGTTGATATCATGGTGAACAAAAAGAAACTTTTTTGAGAAGAGGCTATTTGCATGACTTCAGACTCCACTGATCCTGTTTAGGCTTTTTAGCATTTCCCTTTTCACCCAGCTGAAGGTCAGGATGCTTTGCCTAGGGAGGCTAGGGGGAGTGGCAGGTGTTGGAGCAGGTGTTTTGTTCTCTCCCTGCAGAGTCACACAGACTAGGTGGGGATGCTTCTTGCCAGCCCTCTATGGTGCATGAAAATGCTTTTGTGGAATTTTTTTCCCCTAAAAGTGTGTGTGTGTGTGTGTGTGTGTGTGTGTGTGTGTGTTTTAAAGCAGTTGCCCAACCTTCGACCCCTGGTATAAATTTTGACTTCCTTTAAAGTCAGCTTGTCATGGAGAAGTATGCCTGTCATCTGCCATTTCCACAGCCTGTGCCTTAGATATACCCCATTTTATGCAGCAATTATAGACCTGAAAAATGTTGTGTAATTGTGTATGTGTGGTAAGTGTGAATATCATATTTTAAATGTACTGGGAGAATGTCACAGCAAAGCAACCCTATAAAAAGCCTTTTATAATAATTGTATGACTAGAGTTAATTTTGCTATGTCAATTTTCTTAAATTGGTCATAAACCTGTAGCAACATTTCCTGGCAGTTGAAATAGTCTCAGTGGGCTACAAGGCTGGGCATGGACGAAGCGCCTAAGTGATTAGATGATTTTAAGGGTGAGAGGTGTCAACAGACTTGTAGATTTGGGAGAATTTATATTTTAATATATTACAGAAGCCAATGAGACTTGTTAAGAGGAAAGTATCTCAGGGGAGCTTTAGCTTTAATTCTCCTTATGTGATTTTAAGGTTTGTTTGTTTTTAGCCTGTTTGTACTGGGTTCTACTACCCCGCCAAACAAAGTCATCCCAGAAAAAATTGTCCTCTCCTAACAATGATATAATGGCCTTGGTCCTTTCCAGCGCCCCCCCCCCCCCCCCTGCATCTCAGGGCCATCTGTTCTCTGCATTGGCTTTTTGGGAAAGTCTCCTTGCCCATCTGCTCTCCTTGGGCCTTAGTGTCTGCTCTAAAGATTTATAAAGGCTGCACTGGAACCTCTTTCCAGTTGTTTTATTTTTAAGGATCAGTGAGATTTTGAGGCAGATGAAAGCTGTTTCCATTTGACATGCCCTAATACTACTCCTTTTCTAGGTGCTTTCTCAGTCAATTAGACTTGTGGGTAGAGAAACTATGTCTGTCTACATTTGATTATCAAAGCAAAGATTTGAGCTGGCTCTGGTTGTTTTGAAGCCAGGTGTCCTTCTGGTTTTTTGGCCACAGGCACACCAGCTCAGGAGAGCTCCTTGGGTTCATTCTTTTCCTGTCTTTCCCCTTGTCTCCCTGACAGAGTACAGTCGCTTTGAATCGAAGATACATGACTTGCGAGAACAAATGATGAACAGCAGCATGAGTTCTGGGTCAGGGTCCCTCCGAACAAGTGAGAAGAGGTCCTTGTATGTCAGGTAAGTTGCCTTTCTGAGCACCAGGCCTGGTGCTGGATGGGAGCAGCTCTGCGCCAGCCCAACCCTTCTTGTTTAACTAGTGGGGTAGGGAGTGTGTACTCCCAGTACTAAAATAACACTTCATACTGTATGCTCAGGTTATGTATTTTATGGTCAGTATCTCCTCCCTTTTGTGAGCTGGCTTCTTCCTTTTTGCTCATGAATGACTCAGTATAGGAAAATTTCAGTTTGCTCTAATTGTAAAAGACTGTTGGGTGATTGTTGCTAGTCAGCATTCAAATAGCACTCAAATTTTCAAAGTACTTTGCTTGCAATCTGTGCTCTGAGGGGAAAACTTGGCCCCCATCCCCTTCCACATATGCATAATAGACATCAGGATTTGTATCTGAGCATATCAACTATCACAGTGTTCTGGTACAGGATTTCTTTTGAGACCAAAGAATTGACAGGTTGTTGCATTCTGCGTATTATATTGTGCTTCCATCCCCCCTCTCCACCCACTGCACTGATTTGCTGTGTCTGTGAATCATGGGACAGAATGGAGTGTGTTCCCTAGGAAGGAGGGTGGGGAGGGATCAGATATATAACATTGAACTGTAAGCCACTTGGCGATATTGTCAAAGGTTGAGCTTCTGACCCTTAAGGTGCAGTATACTACTGTGTCAGATCAAGGTACAAACTTCCCTGGTTGTTGGACTGATCAGGGAACACTGTGGACTCCTTGCAGAATTAGGGCTAGTTTCCTTCTTCCTGCCCTGACTTCCTGGCAAAACTCCAGCAGAATGATTGCAAGTTCATTGTATCTCTCCAAGGGCACAGCCTTAGGAGGTGGTGGGATTACCAGAACTACTTTAGATATCTGCTGAATGCTTAGGTGTGGGGTTGTCTTAAACTCTGGTTGAACTTTTCTGGTGGCCTCTGATATCTACTGGGGGCGGGGAGGCTACATTTGCCAGTTGCCTGGCAACATGACAATTGCTCTGTCCTTGGGGTGTGAGATGAGGATAGCTAACCAATGTCAATGCTAATTGCAGTTCTCACAGTGCTTTCTTTTCTTTTTCCCCAGTTGGTAGTCCCTGACCCTATTGCAGGAGCAGAGCTGAGGGAGCCCCTCTCTGAGCCCAAAGCCCACTAGAACCCTTTGAGGTCTTTTCTAAAGTGAACCCTTAACTCCACTCCTTGTGTGAGGAGAGCATTTGCTGCACTCATCTCCCACTGTGAGGGGAGGAGAAGGGTAGAGAGAGGCTGGACTACGCACCAGCCATGTTTCCAGTCTCCCTTCTGGCAAAGAAAGGCCTATCTGCTCTCACCAAAGCCCTTACCCCGGGTCTGCAGCTTAGACACTGGACCACTGATGAGGGAAGCCAGAAATGTGCTGTCACCCCTCAAAATGGGTAATACTTGTGTGACTTGGTCAGGATTGTTCTGTTCCCGTGCTTCCAGCCCCCGCAGATGTGGCACTCCAGTGTGCGTGGGAAGCTGCTCTTTAGGCAAGACAGTTTCTTCAGAGAGCTTTATTTTTAGATTTCCCCTCTCCGCCTATCCTGGGCTAGAGCTCTCCCTGCCTGGGCAGGGGGAGTTGGGCATTGGTTCTCAATCTGGAGTACCCTTCTCTGGCCCAGGCAAGGGATATATTCAGCCTAACTCTGGGGAGGAGAGTAGAGACCATGACTCTGTTTCTAGAGAATCCATTTGTATAATCTGCCCTTAACCTTGTCTAGATAACATCTGTATCCTCAAAGGGAAGTAGATATGGTTTACAATAGGAACTGTTTGTGATCACTGGACTTAATTAGGGCAAATAATGCTTTATGGCTAAAGCAGTGAGCTGGCTAACCCTTGTATGGGAACCTGGTGCGCTCATCTCTTCCATTCCTGTTTTTGGCCTTTCACTCTACACTTGGTTTCTTTTCTTATACATGTGAACATATTTAAACTTCTTCCATTCTTTTTTTTTAATTGGAGCTTGATAGTTATACATAATAGTTGAGTTAATCCTGATAAACTCATACATGCATGAAAATCTATTTCAATTCATGATCCCTCAATTTTCCTCCCATCTTCCCCCTCTCCTATTCTTCTTCCCCTACTCTACTAGTCTTGCTTTCACTCATCTATTAATTTACATTTGATTGGTTCTTTATGCTATCCTATCCTTTCTTCCCCTTTATTTTACTCTTGTTACTGCATATAAGAGAAAATATTTGACCTTTGAGTTTCTGAGTTTGGCTTATTTCACTTATCATAATATTCTCTATTTCCATTCATTTACTAGTAAATGCCAGGATTTCATTTTTTAGTATCTGACTAGAACTCTATTTGTGTGTGCATGTGTGTGTGTGTGTGTGTGTATCACAATTTATTAATCCATTTGTGTATCAATGGGCATCTGGGTTGATTCCATAATTTAGCTATTGTGAAAACTTCTTCCATTTTTTATTTTTCTAAAGCAAAATTTTAAAAAAATATTGTTTAGTTGTCAAAGGACCTTTATTTTATTTATATGTGGTGCTGAGAATCAAACCTAGTGCCTCACACATGCTAGGCAAGCGCTCTATCACTGAGCCACTGCTCCGGGCCCCATTCTTTTATTTTTGTTTTTGGTACTGGGTATTTAACCCATGGATGCTTTACCACTGAGCCACATCTCAGTCCTCCACCTGCTTTAAATTTTGAGACAGTGTCTTGCTAAGTTTCTCAGAGCCTTGCTAAGTTGCTGAGGCTGGCTTTAAACTTGCAATCCTTCTGCCTCAGCCTCTTGAGTTGCTGGGATTACAGGCACCCAACTAACTTCTTCCATTCTTAAAGGAAAGATAAGTTCCTTAAACTATTGTTTCTCTTCTTTTGCTCACTGCATTTACCAAATTCTGTGCCAGGAAACACTAGTACCTTAAGATGTTAATAAGTTAATAGGTATTGTATGAGATATCAGTGCTTCAGTGAGTTGGGTAAATGCAGACTTAAACAGGAAAACTTGACTCTTTACTGTGATTAATGTCCAGGAGGGACAGTGTTTTCCCCAAAAGATATGAACACAGGAGCCTTATTTGGGGAAAAAAAAAAACTGTCTTTAACATCCAGGCTGGGAAGTAGTAAAACTGTCTGTGCTTACTGTTGCTACTTCTCCCCGTCACCTCTCTTTGGTAGCCCAATAGGAAGTGAGCACCAGCTTTTCAGCATGGTAGTGTGGTAGTTCGAAGCAGCCTTGAAAGGCTCCAGAGGAGCAGATGCTGGACTCTATGTCAGGAATCAGCAATGACATCTTGGATTTTAAATTCAATGACTGACCTGGATTTGACTTCTTCACCATGTTTTTTTATGAATTTCCTGCTTTCTTCTTTAAAGGTTCTCTGCCTACCTTGCTGACCAATCCTCAATACCTTTCATTATTAGCTCTGCCCTTGAAATGGTAAATGTCATTTATTTTCACATCTTCAAATCCTGTTGTTGTGTAAGTGACAGTCCTGACCTCTTTACTGAACTTCAAACCTGAATATCAACAATTTGCTGGACATGTGTGTAAATAAAGCTGCCCTTCTAGTTCCTCAGACAAACTGCATGTTCAAAATGGACTCCCCTCCCTCCCTCCTCCTCCTTTCCTCCTCATCTTCCTTAAGTTAATTGCCTCACCCTATCATGTGGAAAAGGTATTAGATTTGTCCTGTCACCCAAGGCACATTTCAGCTCAACATAAGGAAGAAGGAGCTCATGATGAAAACTGTCTGAAATGGAATGGACTGCTTCTGGAGAGAGTAAATTTGATCTTTTGTCACTGGAGGAGTTACAGAAGAGGCTGGGTGACCATTTGCCTGGTATTGCAGAGGGTTTAAAGCTATAGCAACATTCTGGTCCTGATGTGCTCAGAAGATTTCAGTAGTTCCCCAGTGTCTTTAGATTAAAGATGAATAAACATCTAGGAACAAAGACCTATTATATGCCATGATCTTTGTTATTCTCTTTAAATGATTTTTAAATATTTTTAATAGTGCTACAGAGTAGACATAATTCCTGTTTTACAGATGAGAAAACTGAGAGAAGTTCCCAAACTGGAATTTGAACCTCGTTGCTCTATTAAAGTGTGCTTCTTTCAGCCTTTCCCCAGCTTGCTGATAGGAATCGACTATGGAATGCTAGTAAAAATACATATTCCTAGGCTCCTCTTCTGGTGAGTTGGATTCACCAGGGTTGGGTTTTTTTTTTTTTTTTTGTACTGGGGATTGAACCCAGGAGCACTATTCCACTGAACTACATCCTCAGTCCTTTTTATTTTGAGAGAGGATCTTGCTAATAAGTTGCCCAGGCTGGCCTTGAACTTGTGATCCTTCTGCCTCAGTTTTGCAAGTAGCTGAGATTATAGGCATGTAACACCATGCCTGGAGAAATGTATGTTTTAACAAGCAATCAGAATGCTTGGGAATGACTGCTTGTGTACCACAATACACATTTATTTCTATGTTAACTAAACATTGCACTTTTTAGTTCCTACCGTGTGGAAAGCAGTAAAGCACAGGTCTAAGAATTTGGGCATGGTAGCATGGGTGGAATTGAGGAAGCAGCCATGTGGTTCCTTCTGTCCACCAAGAAGAGGTCAAGCAGCCCATGGGTAAAATGAAGGCACCTTTTCCAGTTTGGGTTCTTTAATTCTCTTGCTGTTTTTTCCCCTTCTGACATGTTTCTCCTCTCTTCCCTTCCCCTGAGTATCTCCCTCTGGTGTGCATGGGGTTTGCAAAGCTATTTTGAAGTAAATAACACCCTCTTACAGCTGCACTGAGGCTGTAGCAGGTGAAGCCCTAGGGAGCTGCAGCTGTACTAACCGTAGGGGCAATGGGAGTTTTGGAGCAGGAGGAAGAAGGAAAGATAACAGTATTTGGGAAATGTTACTTGGCTTTGAAGTCACCAGGGACTTAATGAGAAAGGCCTTCCACACCCTTCATCATGCTAGAACAGTTTCTTCTTTTTTTTGGGGGGGGGTGGATATTGGGGATTGCACTCAGGGGTAC